GGAATACATTTTTTAGAATTATCACAAATTACTCAGAAACGTCGTTAATTAATTAAAAATATAGTAATTTAAATTTTTATTTTCTCATCTCGTTACGAACATTTCGACGTAGGCAAATATTATCTTGTCATAATTAAATTAAATATTCCGAGTCGACAATATTATGTCCGTTTATTTACACTACATATTAAAAATGTATATATGGTACATTTCGAACTCACACTCTCTCACAACAGTGGAATTGGTTTGTAATTCGAGTTTGTGAGCTTATCAAAGTATTCCTTCTATACTATTTAAGTGACTTCAAAACGAAAGAGGTTCTTAATTTATATGTATATTTTGTGTTACGCGATATCTTGACCAATTATAAACTGATTCTAATCATTCTATTTTTAACTATCGTTTGCACTAATTTATTCGAAACTCAAATATTTGTTTTTATATATATATATATATATATATATATATATATATATATATATATATATATATATATATATATATATTAATTATAAGCAAAATCTGTATGTTTTTGTATGTTATGAAAATGTATGTACTACGAATGGTATAATATAATATAGTGCAGTACAAAGAACCTTACATGTTACAACAGCATGAATTACATTTTAATAATGCGGATTACTTTGAAGAGAGAGAAGTGCAAGTTTCTTGAAAATGTTACAAATAGCTTTGTGAAAGATAATTGTACACACCAAAAAACATATAGAGACAATTCCGTCTCACATTATCACAACAATGTTTCCTGTTAACCAGAATCAACAACAGCTACAATTGTTAATGAGCAGTGAGTTTCATGCGAGTCCCGCGGGAAAATGTACTATGACGTACAACTTACAATGAACGGAACCAGAGATGAGAGTAGAAAGTAAGACAAGTGTATTATACTCGTACAGAAGAAATTGATACTACTATAGCATTCTTTTAAGTATTTTCTGTTAGTCAAACTAAACATAATAAAAATAAAAAGTGAATAAATAAATAAATAGATTGAAAATAACAAAAAAAATTAAGCCTCTTGATGACGGCATTCCGACACTGGGTATAGGCAAAAAAACAATAATATGATTTCTTTTAAATAATCTAATTACTGTCTAAATTTAATGGTCTAACTCATACTGAATATACTGGAAAGATATATCATCGAATAAATATATATATATATATATATATATATATATTTGGTGTAAACAATATATGGAACTTAATACTAGTTATTTGAAAAAAACAACAAAAAAATTTTTTTTATACCTCTGTGGCAAACAAGCATACGGCTCACCTGATGGTAAGTAGTTACCGTAGCCTATGAACACCTGCAATACCAGAGGTATTACGCGTGCGTTGCCGACCCTGAAGAAACCTCTTTACCCCCCTTTTAAAGAACCCTATGCTGTAGTCTCAAATGTGGTATAAAAAATAAATTAGAAATTATCGAAGACATATAGACATATATACACATAAAAAAGACAGTGGATCAGATTGAGAACCTTCTTATTATTAAAGTCGGTTTAATAAAACAATAAGACAACATACGATAGAAACAGCAAATTTTGAAGTCTTATAGCTAAGTTTTAATTTTCTATTAGGAGTATAATAGATGAATTTTCCAGGGAATTATATGACCCGATGCCATCGTCAATCTTTCGTCACCATCGTACCTCTCGCTATAGAACTGGATTTCACACTCATTACTTGGGTGCATGGCATAATACAACTGTCCGTGTATGCCGATCATTTCTACCTCGGACATCTAGATTATGGAATGGGCTCTTGTCTTCAGTTTTCTCTTTACAATTCAGGGAATATAAAAAAAGTGCCTACAATCATTTAAAAGATCGGCAACGCACAAGCAACTCCTCTAGTATTACAAGTGTTCATGAGCGACGGTAGCCGCTTTCCATCAGCTGAACCGACTGTTCGTTTGCCTTCTTAACAATAAAAAAAAAAAGTATTAATAACGGGAAAAAACATTAAACAGTTTATAGGTGCTAGTGTATCTTTACTGTTTTATAAAGCGCTCACTAGTATACCCAATTACCAACCGTATAACAGACTTGAGTAATTCATAACTAAATTGTTAAACATACACAAACAAAACTCAACAGTATAATGATATCTATTTCATTATATAATATTTTATAATAAACATAGAACAACACAACTACTAGCCTATATATATAATTAGAGATAAGTAATTATATATATATATATACATACATACATATCTGTCACGCCTGTCTCCCATTAGGGTAGGCAGAAACAATGGAACGCCAAATGCTTTGATTCAAACAAACCTCTTTCGCTTCTTCCACATTCATCAATCTTGTCATACACGCTCGCCGGTTACGGGTACTTTTAATTATTATTATTATATATATATATAAAGATAAAAAAATTCTTTGAGATCACTGCCAGCTGGTAGGGTGCCTAGGATACTTGCTGCATTTCCACGCTGAATAGCAATGGAAATGCGTTGACCAAAGTATAGGCCAGCCTTCTGGTCACCAGAGGTTTCCACCAGCCGGCGTGAGATCTCTTTGAAAATAGATACAACAGTATAATTATGTTTGTGTATATTTTAGTTACTGGTAACTGGCGTATAGCTAAGGTATTATTCTTCTACGATACATCCAAAGGTGATATCATAAATTATTAGTCATGGATCGATTCTCAGTTCAAGGCTTCCATCATTTAGGGGCGCTTGAAGTTCGCTGATAAGCCGGGCCCATTCCGGTCACGTCTAGCCCCGGTACGGTTAGGGCCTGCAACTACTCTTTAGGGAATCGATACGAACTAACGAACTCCGCACTTCCGATGGGGATACCTAATATTTCACTGGGAACCGATAGCGTGATGTGCGTACGTATTGCTCAGTTAATTTGGGATGGCGCGGAGGAAAGTACGATATGAAACTCGGTCGTAACTAAGTCAAAGCAGTCCGCAGTATTCGCACTGCAGGATATAATTTCACTGTTTTTTGTCACGTTTCCTTTGGCGCATGTCCGATCTGTTTCTTATTGCTAGCTGTTATTACGTTTGTAAATATAATCTTATGAATACAGCGACTCGGTTCGAAAAAGCAAAAGATTTTTAATTCGACAGATTTTTTTTGTATTTATAATAATAATAATAACGAGTTTATATCATATGCACAAATTACAGTTAATGTACAGATTATTTAATTATTTTTCTGTGGAATCCAGAGCCTAAACTAAGCCGTAACCAGTATCTTAGACACTAGGATCTATATTATGCAATATCTTCTTTAATTCAACGCCACATTTTGAGTCTTCTACTTTAATGTTCAACTATCAAGTTAGTATGAAAAACTAAAACGTTTTAGTAATGTTTCGACCAATGTTTTTTTGGAAAAAAAGAATGTTCAGTCTCATTCATAGAACACTCCCTTAAATGATTTAAATTCATACTTTATAATGACTTGCAGATTACTATTAAACATACAAGGTATAAGAACCTAACATAAAAAGATTCAAAATTATAGCCAATTTCAATAGAACTTAATAAAAAGATAAGCAAGATATTATAAAATTATCATCGAAATATTTTAAAAGAGAATTAATAACAAATCGAAACTTACTTCGAGAAGAAGCTCCTCAATTCAGTCGTATTGTTTCACTTCATAATTCCGTCATTAATAAACTAATTTGCAAAAATCTTTTTTTATCTAAAAAAATATGCTTACATATTGGTCCTATAAAATTTTTTTTAAAATCGAATCAGTAGTTTAGTTGTGTTAAGTAAAGCCGATGTTTTTGTTTGTATAGAACAATCTTAATTGTATTAGTACTGTTACTTGACATCAACAGAGTTTTAATTATGTTCTATTGAAATAAACTACATAATAAAGAATGATATTATTAATCGCAACAATATCTGATTTGTCTTCACTAAAGTAATGTTTCGTGTTCAATACACGTTGACAGCCCCTCGAGAATATGTCAGCCATCGCTCGGTAACACGTTGCATATACCTTACATTTCATTGTATAAGTGCAGAAACAATTTCTTTCTCTCTATCTCTCTCTTCGAAACGACGTGTCCCACATAGTAAGGTGAAGCTTATTTTTCTTTGTTTTGTTTTATCTTTTATGTCCTCTTGGGGAGTTTATATTTTATCGTGTCCCTTATCACAAATTGCATATTTCCACATTGCATTTAATTTGGCTCAAGATCTTCGATCAGGGATGACATATCATAGTACCAAGTCATAAAACAAGCTTCCCATTTGGTTAAATTACTCAAAATTAATATTGACTAAATTCTACTACTTTATTTACGTGAATTGAAATAAAGTATTCTGTATTTAAACATGAGATAATTATTGTTTATTCGTGTACACAAAATATCTTTATAAACTATCACATTTATAATATCAGTATCATACCAGCCTTTAACTATTCTCTGTTAAAAGCTCCCCCTTGGGAGGCTTTGCCAGTAGTTGCCCCACTTGGCAGGCAGATTAGCAACTGGGCTTTAAAGATGTTTTAAGAGGGACGCTGCTGCCCATCCCTCGCCCACACTTAGTCGGCTCTTACGACACCAACGGTAAAGAGTGGCCTATTTTATGCACAGCCATATCAATATGATGACGGGATATTTCATCGCCATTAATACTGAGCTCAATAAAAAATAAAGATAAACTGAATGAGAATTATTATAACGATTCGAGTGCTGGATAATCGAAATCAACACTCGTTTAAATCGGAATCGATTTGTCGAATTAATGTCACTGATTGGAGCTGTTAAAGAGCACTTTGATAGGAAACCAATTAATTTGACAGTAAATGAGGTGTTGCCAAATGAATTCAGAATTGTATGTTAATGAAATTCATAGGATCGTATTGGGATGGTGCATTAATTAAATTATATTCCTTTAGTTGATCTGTTATTTGTAAAAATCTATATTACCGTTTTTTTATATAAATAAACGAGCATACAACTCATCTGATAGTAAGTGATTACCGCCATTTATAGGCACCCGCTACACCGGAGAAATCGCAAGTACGTTGCTGGCCTTTTACGTCGAAGTTTACTATTTTCTTGAAGATTTTAATGTCGCATCTATTTGGAAATACTACTCCTGAAAATTAATTTCATATTTTGATTGAGCGTGAAAAAAAATATCGACAGAAACGCACGGTGGAGGGTCGGCGTTCGTCCAGATGGTCAAATTTTTAGCATAATATACATAGTGAAAAAAAAACTGTATTGTTTTAAGAGACTGATCTACTAATGAAATTAAACATTTATCTCAAAGAGATATGATTAAAAAATCTAGATCATAGATCGTGGGTGGGTATCATGGGTGAAACAGTATACTCTACTATGTTCATGGTACTGCTCATGTCTATAGGCAACGATTACCACTTTCCATCAGGTGGACCGTATACCGACCGTAGACCGGAATAAGAATAATGAAATTTTTAATTACAAATCAGTACAAAATTTTCTTTTTGAAGTAATTAAATTGCTGTAGTTATTTACCATCAGGCCGATTATTTACTCAAGCGCCACCCCTCAATTTAAAAAGATTTAAAAAAGAACATAAAATTTTTCTGTTAAGTATTTTTTTATATTTGTTGCCGTAAAAATAATTAACAATGTAATTAATTTTATTTTATATAATATAATGATTTTAATTTATTATAAATAAATACGAATACACCTATCTAGAACTAATTAATATTTATTTATATGAAATTGGAAACTCTACATAGCGAAACTTGCGCTTTATATTTAAATATTCAGTAATATGTATTCCCTATTATTTTGCAACTACCATTATGTTAACCTATGCCACTATACCAATCTACATACAAATGTATGTATATTACTATTATTAGTAAATTATTGCATGAGTTCATTGTACCTACGCACGTTAGAAGTGAAATTTATTAGAAAGGAAATGTGTAATGTACACCAGTGGACCTTTCAATTGTGGTTTCAACTTCGAGTTCAGAAAAGTCGATGCCCCCGAAATATAAAAGGAAGCAATTTATAAAATAGTTTCTAAGAATATCGTCTACTGAAGACTTGAAACTGAAAAAGCTCATCGGAATCTCACTTCATCACAGATCTCGCGCATGCTGAAAATCACTCATCTATGCAAGAACTTTCTGGAATGTGTAGTCAATCCTTATACTACGCGCGTTTTCGTCGCACGCGAGGCAATATCGTAGTTCTCGATGATCGCAGACGTGACAGGGTTGCCTATGAATGCATAGCGTGAATAGTTCGTATCCGTGCAACGAACGTGATATTTAATGCATTGCTTTCTATTGCCGAGTTATGTATTTAAATTTTTTAGTTATATTTTTAGGAGCGTTCATAATTTTAACTTGCCAAAGTGTAGCAATATCGCAATTAATTTTCAATGTTTCAGATTGATTCTGTCACAAGTTTATTAGCAAATTAAAATTAGGCTGTGTATTATTTTCGGAAATTCTATCCATCCGTCCGAAACCAAATGGGATCGCATTTAAATAATTCATTAAATATATTGGGTAATATATTATCATAATATAAACCGGCGAGAGTGTATGAAAAGATTGATGAATGTGGAAGAAGCGAAAGAGGTTTGTTTGAATCGAAGCATTTGGCGTTCCATTGTTTCTGCCTACCCTAATGGGAAACAGGCGTGACAGATATGTATGTATGTATAAACTTCTCTGTCTGAAATAAATTATTTTTATTTATTTTAATATTACAATCTGCTATTTTATTAATATGGCTGTAAGAAAGTGTAGTGCTAACAAGTAGATCTCAACCCTTATAGAACGTGCGTTTTTACGTCGCACATAAAGTAGTATCATACTTCTCAATGATCAGAAACGTGATAGAATTACCAGTGCACACCGCGAATAGTTCGTGTCCGTGCAACCAATACGACATCTAGTAAATTGGTTTCATTTAACGGAGAAACTGAAGACGGGAGAAAAAAGCAATTTTTATCGACAGTTCTTTTGATACACGAACCTATTACTTTTATATAGAACCTTGAATTTAAGTATTTTTACAAAACACAAAAACCACTTTTACATTTTAAAGGTGTGTTCTAAAAATTTGTCATCTACATATTTTTTTTTTAATCTCACTGAGGCACTGATGTTGGTATATAAAGTTAAATTTTCACCTGTTTTGGAACCTTACTAAATTTGCAATGCAAATGAAGAAAAACTTAATACAAATTCGAAATTAAAATAGAGGTTAAGCAATTATACGAGAAAAAACATTAGCATAATGTCTTTGAATAATGCAGCTAGAAAATTATAAACAAAAGTTTTAATAAACATTCTTATATAAATAAATATTATCACATGTTTTTACGAATCGAGTTGATGTTGATTTGCATACCTATAACCTATCACCTGAATTTAAAAATAACTTTAGATAAAAAAATAATAACAATATACATAAGCCATTCACAATATTACTTAATCTGTTTCAAAGGTCAAAGAAATGATTGGTTGGTTGTTTAACCTCTTTGACCTCTGAAATATAGTAGGAAAATTAACTGTAGTTCTGACCGTAGTGTTACCAGTTGCTTTTTTTTTCAAGCTATATGGTATGACGAGTAATTTTGATACTGATTTTGATAAAAAATTCTATGGAACCGATCTGTGTGTTATGTCCTTTCACTTAAAGAAACAATTTTCCAAATCGGTTCACAATTGACAAAATTAAAGGTAACAAACGTAAAAATATAACCTTCTTCTTTTTGGAGACAGTTGAAGACTCTAAAAACAACGCCATTAAATAACAACAATAAAGATATATTTTTGAAAAACAAACTTCATTGGCAACAGCTGGTAAAAACTTTTCGCTATAACAATGAATAATAACTTTCAGATTATATGAAGTATTGCAAATGTATTCTGTATTTATGTGCCAGCTTTGAAGCCGGAACTTATGGCACGTGATACCCCAAGGTGCACTCCATAAAGCCGACTACATCCCGTAAAATAGACCTCATATCCTTTAAAGGCAAATCCACCGTATGACAAACCGAAACGGTAACTAATAGTCGAATTTCCTTAAAATACTGCGACGCGTGGCTTTATATTTCAAGTGAAATACATTGGAAAGTGGTGTAGGGCTGTCATTATTTGCAATTTTTATTTCCGATTTAAGATATTTACTTTTCTTAAGTTCCGTACGTAAATCACTTAAATGAGAAATTAAAAACTTGAACATGCATTTAATATCCGCGTTTTGTCAGCGCAATCGATTAAACATCAACTAAAAATAAAACATCTTGTGAAACTACCTTCATTTTATAAAAATTAAAAAATGCAATGTAACTCAATTTGCAAAAAAAATCTTATTTATTTAAGGTAATATCAAATAAACGTATATTCGCCATGTGTTAGATTGATTTTTATTATTTCTTTTTAAATGAAAAGTTTTATTTTCATATAAGAGTAAAAAGGATTGAGGACCAATTATTTCGTATTATATATTTTTTTCTATTACTATTTATTTAGGCGTATATGAAGGCGTAAGGAAAGGGGTATATACATAGTGAATGCCTGTTTAGCTTGTTTTTTAATCTAAAAATTTTCTGTCCATGTAAGTAAGTGTAATGTAAGGTTAAGGTATGATTTGTTGCGAGAGAATTTTTCTCTTAATGAATGATTTATTTTTAATTAATATATTTCAATTTAAAAAAAAACTGATTTGATAAACGTTGTTCTAATCAAAATCCAGTTTCTTTTTTTCTTTTACTAAAAACATTAATCGTAGTCCGATTCATAATCGATGTTCATTACATATAAAAATAAAACCGAAATCGGTCCAGTCGTTTTCAAATGATACACTTACAACCCAGCAGTATTTTATCCATATATGGAATAATAAAATCAATTGTCCACTTCAATGTTAAAAGAATTATTTAAGGCACATTTATTAAAGCTCATTAAAAGTTTTCTTGGTTGGAAACGAAAATAAATCATTCGCTAAACTTTTAGCTGCTTATCGAGAATCTTCTTTGGTAAGTATTTAGTATAATTGTGTTAGTCTAAAATGTCCTCTCAAGTTCATCCACATTCATAATATTGTACTTGAAAAATATTATATATATTAATTTACTGAATGGTCTTTTTCTTATAAATTTGTACCATCGAAATAACTCAGCAAAATTATCATTGTTTACTTAAAAGATCGTGTTAATGTCCGTCCTTATGTTAGCTCCACTATAGCTCGAGAATAGCTGGACCGATTTGGCTAATCTTGGTTTTTAAATATTTGTAAAAGTCCAAGGAAATTTCAAAAGGTGAGAAAATATGAAAAAATTGCATGGAAAAATATTAAAATCAACAAATTTAATTTCCCGTACAATCTGTTCGTACCTGTCAAATGGAATAAATTGCGTGGAAAATAGTAAAATCGACAATTTTAATTTTCCATACAAACTGTTCGTACCTGTTAAATAAAATACGTTCAGAAATTAATTTTGCGACAAAACTTATAAAGAGATATTCAGAAATCAATGCGGCACGAAGTTCGCCGTGTCAGCTAATATTTTATAATTTCATTTAATTCTTCTTTTATCTTAATATACTCAATTTATTAAAAGCGACGACTGCTGTAGCTGACTGTAGCTTATACATATTATGTTATGACAAATTACTCCTAATTTAATGTCCGGACATAGGAAAGGCCATCTCTTCCTTTTTCGTGAGTGTCGTAAGAGGTGACTAAGTGAGGGCGTGGGATGGTCATCAGCATCTCTTTTAAAACATCTCCAAAGCCTAACTGCGGTTGCCAATCTACCAGCCAATCGTAATAACTACTGGCTAATCCCCCTAAGGGGGAGGCTTATGTTCAGCAGTGGACAGTTAAAGTCTAATATGATGTTGATGATGAAACTAGTATTAATAATTTAAATATTTAACAGGAAGTTTGTCTTGTAAGTTATATACACAATTAACATGTATATATAGCAAAATACTGATGAAATGTTATTGAAGATAATTTCTTACTATATTTTTATAAATAAAACTACTATACAATAACAAATATTATTTATACACAAATATTATTTTGATAAAATCGTACGATAAATGTCAAGGGTCGACTTTGGCGGATTGAGATCGTCTCTTATTTCTTGGGTTATCTAATCAGTGTCTCAATGTTAATTTATAAGCAAAAATCTTTATTTTACCGCTATAATAATATG